TTATTGTAGGAAGGATTAAGTACAATATGTTATTATTGTAGGAAGGATTAAGTACAATATGTTATTATTGTAGGAAGGATTAAGTACAATGTGTTATTATTGTAGGAAGGATTAAGTACAATATGTTATTATTGTAGGAAGGATTAAATACAACATGTTATTATTGTAGGAAGGATTAAATACAACATGTTATTATTGTAGGAAGGATTAAATACAACATGTTATTATTGTAGGAAGGATTAAATACAACATGTTATTATTGTAGGAAGGATTAAATACAACATGTTAATATTGTAGGAAGGATTAAATACAACATGTTATTATTGTATGAAGGATTAAATACAATCTGTTATTCTTGTAGGAAGGATTAAGTACAACATGTTATTATTGTAGGAAGGATTAAATACAACATGTTATTATTGTAGGAAGGATTAAATACAACATGTTATTATTGTAGGAAGGATTAAATACAATCTGTTATACTTGTATGAGGAAAGGGATGTCTTAAAGATTCTGTACGACAGAGACTGAGACATACTCTTTCAACTTTTCGGGTTCGAATCCCCGTCACACAACATGTTCGCCCTTTCAGCCTTGGGGGCGTCATAATATTACGGTCAATCCCACTATTCGTTGGTAAAAGAGTAGACCAAGAGTTAGCGGTGGGTGATGTTGACTAGTTGTCTGTCCTCTAGCCTATGACTGCTAAATTAGGAATTGTTGTTTGTTGGTTGATTTTATAAGCACGTGATATTTACTGATGAAGACCTGAGCGTTTCATTTCTATTGGTTGATTTTATAAGCACATAATATTTACTGATGAAGACCTGAGCGCTTCATTTCTATTGGTTAATTTTATAAGCACGTAATATTTACTGATGAAGACCTGAGCGCTTCATTTCTATTGGGTAATTTTATAAGCAAGTAATAGTTACTGATGAAGGCCTGAGTGCTTCATTTCTATTGGTTGATTGGCAGCTATTTGTTTCCACTGGATAAGTACCAGAAAGATAGCATTTATAGTTTTTGAGATATCCAAGTTGCTACAAATCGATATACACGGCATGTCAATTAATAAACAATTTTTCCAGCTACGGTTGAACAAAGGAAACACATGTGTTTGTTTGTTTTTAATTTTACGCTAATTTACTTGAGGACTATAAGAGCTAACCGTTGCTATTTTTGAAGCGATGGACTAGAGAGAAAGCAGCTAGCCAACAAAATCCACTGCCAAATGTTGGGCCCCTCTTTACCAACAAATAGCGAGTTTAAGCGTCACATTGTAACGCCCTCACGGATGAAAGAGCGAGCATATTCGGTGAAGGGTTTCGATCTCGCTAAGAAAATAATTCTTTAGTTTTTCTTCAATATCGTACAATTATTTAAAGAAAAAATAACTTCAAAAGAAACAACTCTCTAGTCTAAACCGTTATTTGACAAAAGTCTGTTTGTCCGCTTATAACTGGCGAATCACTCTACCGACTGTCACCACTCCTGATAAGTTTAATTTGTGCCTCCCGAGAAATGACTTAAGATAGCTTGCGTTTGGATCTGAACCTTCTCTTATATATTTCTCCTGCCTTGAACTGCTACATCAGAGAATACTATATAGCATAAATAATATATATTATTTGGCCGATAGATGACACTAGCTGAGATTATCAGAAAACGCTAATAATGATAAGTTATCGTTTTGAGATTTTATATTTTTACCTGTTTTCTTAAGTTATTACTTAAATTTATAATTTTTTTTTCGAAATCCAACCATTTGTAGCCAATATATATAAACATTCATGTTGATAATGAAAGTTATAATGTTCATGAAAAGATTTTGGACACGTACTAGTTAATTGTGAGAGATATATCTGGCGGGATTTCTCTCACTGTGTTTGTGTTATGAAAATAACTGCATATTTTGTTATTAAAATAACTAAATTATAATCCAATAGGATTCGACGTTCGTTCGTTTTGAACATTAGAATTATAACTAAAAATATTGAAATGTTATTAGAATATTGTAAATTAGGCCTGATTTGATATATTTTTTTTAAATTATTATATTATCCTTGAGCAACCTTTAAATTTGATTTAATTGTGAAGTTTCTCTTACAAATTCCTTGCCATGTTTCCATACATCAGTTGCACAATAAACAACAGTTTGTCTGGAAAGTCGTTCTTATATTCTGAAAGTAAGTCTTAGGTCAATAATTTTAAGTAATCTGAAAAGCTATGAATGATTCCATTCTCTGTTTTGAAGTTTGTTTGATCTGATGAAGATTTACATTAGCAGATCAAAACGTCGTTCTTAAAACCTTTAGACCTTTTAGACGTATTCTTACGTTTATGGTATTTCTATCTCAACAAGGTATTATACAAATGATGATTTTTGTTTTTCTTTGAGTAAATGTACGATTTTTAGAAAGCACACAATGTTATGGTAATCCTGTACATTTCTCGGTGTGCAAATATTTGACATATTTCTGATAATATTATTGCCAGAACATACGCATAATGTAATAATGTCTATAATTTTCAACAGGGCAAAGGAGAAATGACAACATTCTGGCTTGTGGGTGAGAACGAACGTCCACGTTGTGTACGTCGAGGTAACTCCAAGAAAACTGGCTGTCTGAGAGACCCACGGAGTTCCTTGAGAAAAATACGATCTGGGTGCACATGTCACGACCGCAGGATGTCGCTAGAATCGCCAAAAAAATTACGTTTTGCGAACGACAACAGTAAACAGAAGGACCTACTGAAGAGAGAAGAGCTTAGCATTAATTGTGACACAGTTTCACCCTCTAATTTCAGCCCCCTAATGTCACTGTATCTGCGAGACAAACAACACTCCTGCCCCTGCTTAGGTCCTACTTGTATGCGCTGTTTGAAAGATGTTTATTTTATAAACTCTCCCGTGGACGATTCGGCTATCACTTTTCTCATTGGATCAAAACCTCTCATAAAGCGTCCAATAAGAACATGTGAGACAACTATAGGAAACAAAATACGTTTTCCACAATTTGATAAGAAACAACTAATGTTTACTCAGTCAGAAAGTGAACCATTTCTTCCTAAAATTTTGGGACTGACTGGGTTACATAGAGAAAGCTCTATGTGATAAATTGTGCTCTTATTTATAAACTTATTGATATACATAGAGAGAGAGAGAAAGGCGTAATTATACTTAGATTTACGTCAAAACGTCTTTACTAAGACTACGAGTCAATACGATACCTATATCTTATTTCCTATGGTCCAAGCATTCCCTTGCGTTATTTTTTTCTGTTACTATAAATGTGCGATTTTATTTTTTTTCAAATCAAATAATATAAATGCTGTTAAAAAGTTTCATAATATTTCAATACAGTTTTAATGAATGTGTTGTGTACCGTTCTTACTTTTTGTGTGCTTTATCTTCTCCTTTCAAAACATGAAGAAGATCGCATCAGTATTATTACGAGTTGTGAAAGGTCTTTATTTGTGAAAAAATTATTTGATGGTTAGTGTTCTTGTGAAAAATAAAGTATTTTGAGTTACGCACATATGTGTGATTTTTGAACACAAAATTCAACAGATTAATTAGAAATATCAGGATATAAATGTCATAAATATGAAAAAAAATTTAGCTAAAATAAAGTTTCCTTGAACAAATAAACATTTAACTTTCACACATTTATCGTGCTTTATTTAATTCCTGGAAGCCATTACTAAACTTACACTACTACTACTGAGCAAAGTTCGATTGTCTGTACTTTTCACAGGCTTTATTTATACCGAGGTGGCAATTTCTGATTGGTTGGATGCCAACCTATCACAGTTTGAGATATCAACACGTGATTTACTCTGGTACACTTCATTTTAACACGTAGTTTTGCCATTTTATAAACGCTTCCCTCACTATAGGTGGGTTTATGTATTTGTTTTTACCAAAATTCTAGTAGCAGATATACCGTTATATACATCCAAACTGTGCTGCTACCTACTGTTACAAAGTAAAACTAATATGAAAAATAAAATTATCTATTATTTAAACTCAACTGAACTCGTTGACTATTATGATTTTTTTCCTTTTTATTACTATCCTAAAGAAATATATGTGGTTGAAGAACAGAATAATTCTAGTGTTGTAAACTAATAAACCTAGTATGTTTCTTTAAAGATAGTATCTTTAAGAGAAATTTTTTTTTATATCTACTTTCACAATGATGCCCTGATTCTACCAAGAAAATAAAATTACATATATCTTATAAAATCATCGCTCATCGTTTGTGAATACCAATATATAACAAATTATAACAAATAATGTCCTTTTATAGAATGTTGTTTTATAAGTAAACATCTTTCAACATGTGCCAAGTATCGACAATATAAGAAAACACCTTTCAACATGTGCCAAGTATCGTCAATATAAGTAAACACCTTTCAACATGTGCCATCGACAATATAAGTAAACATCTTTCAACATGTGCCAAGTATCGACAATATAAGTAAACACCTTTCAACATGTGCCAAGTATTGAGAATATAAGTAAACACTTTTCAACATGTGACATCGAAAATATAAGTAAACACTTTTCAACATGTGCCAAGTATCGACAATATAAGTAAACACCTTTCAACATGTGCCATCGACAATATAAGTAAACATGGTGTTTACTTATATTGTCGATACTTGGCACATGTTGAAAGGTTTCAACATGTGCCAAGTATTGAGAATATAAGTAAACACTTTTCAACATGTGACATCGACAATATAAGTAAACACTTTTCAACATGTGCCAAGTATCGACAATATAAGTAAACACCTTTCAACATGTGCCATCGACAATATAAGTAAACATCTTTCAACATGTGCCAAGTATTGAGAATATAAGTAAACACTTTTCAACATGTGACATCGACAATATAAGTAAACATCTTTCATCATGTGCCATCGACAATATAAGAAAACACGTTTCAACATGTGCCAAGTATCGACAATATAAGTAAACACTTTTCAACATGT